TGACGTAGAAGAACTAACCTCAGGTTGTTAAACAAATCAGCCCCTTCCATGATACCTTACTAGACACAGATGATTCATCCTTCTGATTTCCTGACAACTTTGTTACTTATCTCGTCCTGCTGCTCACTTTGTATTCTTGCCCTGCTAGCTTTGCCAGCAGATCCCATAGACCCCTGAAGTTTGGTCTTGGTAAAGTTTGCACCTCATTTCCAGCAGTGCCGTAGAGTTGACTTTGCTCTTTAATGTGTATCTTAACATTGTGGGTTGTAGAGGAAGCATGTAGACAAAGCCTTCTGGTCATAGGATGTTATTTTATGTAGCGTAAAAAAAAATACTCTTCCTGTTCCTACTTGAAGGCCACAGATTTTCCCTAATGTATACTGTCAGCCAAGACTTTACTTACAAGACTGAAAAGTGTTTAACCCCTTTTCACAGTAGCCATAAAATGCAGTTTCTGCCTCTTTTGGAGGAGATCCCTCATTTGAACTATGCATCTTTTTTCTTTGGTTACATTAATGTAATATATTTAATAAAAAAAGGGGTTACAAAAGTGGAAGCAAACCAAATTTTCGGCTTTGTGGATGAGCAAGCAAGTTTATTAAAGTGTTTTTATTGTGGCAGCTCCAGGTTTTGTCATATCAAGAAAACTGCAGTTAGACTGTCCATTTTATCTTGGTGCAGCTGTCTTTGTGTAGAGGTTTTTACAACAGGGACCCCCCCCCCACCTCATCATCCCTCATTGCTCGCTGGCAGCTCTACACAGAGTTACAACAATTAGAACACTGAGAGCCAACAGTGTCTTAGTTAATCTGATAGCAGAGTTATGGGGAAAATATTTTCTTTGATTACATTGATTAAAATATCGATTTAGTCCATTTTTTGGCAGAATGACCACTAGGGTGCCTGCAGAAAGAACCTACGATGTCTCTGCTTTATGGTACTTTGGGTAATGACATGCTGTCTTCTGAGCTGGAAGAAAGGGTTGAGATTCATTTACATTTTTCAGTGTGTGGCTTCAGAAACGAGATCAGTTCAGTAGCAAGAGTGCAGAACGCAATTTCCTTAGAGGGCTTAGGCGGACCATTCTTCACCATTTAATTGACTGACAATAAAGGCCCACGTCTTGAAAGGGGTCTTGTCCGCATTAATAAACAAAACAAGCGGACTGGATGAACTAGTGCGCACAAAAGTCTCGGTGCTCTGTATCCAGGGGGCTTTTTAACCTTGGCAGAGGCTCAAAGTTGATGTTTCACCACATGCCATAGCTGCACCAAATTAAAATGTAATTACTTGTTGGAGAGGGTCTTGACTAGACTGACACTGGGGCTGTAAGAGAAGATGAAGTTGAAGATGAAGCGTGGGCTACATGGGCTTTCATCATAATGCCAATGCAATCAATCTTAGCTTTAAAAAAGAAGGAAAAAGCTTTTCTGCAACTTAAGTTTTGCGTTCTTAGACAGGAATAATGTAGCACTCTTTGTGTCGTAGTGTGAAAGCGTCTCCAGCGCTGGGCTATTGACCTCTGACCTCTGAAGTACATCTCTGCTATAACTGCTTAGAGAGAGGCGCAAAATTAACCTATGGGGATGGTTCTCTCTCTGTTGCTCTCTCTAGCTGAATGGACTGCTCACTTTGTAAAGCTTGATTCAGAGCAGGGTTGACACTGAGCTGGCACAAGAGCTGGAGTTTTTCTTACCTCTAGCATTCATGCAGGGTGCAAAAGCCAGTGAACAGAAGTACATAAAGTATAATAAAAAGCTCGCAGTATTCTATTCTTAGTTTAGAGTACTAACCAGTGCTTTGAGTAGCATATATATATATATATATAATATATATAATTATAATTAATGGACTAAAAGAAATTACCCAAAATGACTTGGAAAACATTTTGGTTCCTTTGACTTACATTAAAAGTAAAGTATGTTTTTTCCTTCTCGTGTAAAGTAATCATTTTGGAGAAACAAGGTTTTCTTCCAACAACAACAACAACAACATATATATAATGTCTGAAATTCAGCACGGGCTGGAAGTTAAAGAGAAAGCTGTAGATGTTAAAGAGAAAGCTGTAGGTGCTCGAGGCAACCACTGAAGCTTATTACTTTTTCTGTGATGTGAAGTGAGATTTATATGAAAGTGGGCATCAATTAGAAATGGTTAACAAAAGTGTAGAAGTGAGAAGTATTTTGTTTCTGGTGTGAAATCTGGATTAGAGTGTGTTTTAATGGTTTTCTAATTGCAGATATGCAAAGTACATTTAAAATTAGACCCAAACATTCTTGTAAGAGTACATAGAACTTGACTATCTGTTTAAATGATATATGGTGAAATTGATTTAGAAACCAGGAAACACTCAAACCCCCTAAACTTTTGTTAAATGCAGTGTGACTTGAAGCTGTTTTTTTACAGTGGGAACCCTTGTCTATCAAAAAGCTCTGATCAGACACACTTTTGCTCTGCTGTAAAACAGTGACTTGCCCAGAGGTGGCAATAATGAGGCAGTCATGTGTAGGGGTCACCTTGATGTTATGAGTATTGTGGTGGTCGTTGTTGGAACGGTCCCTCTCTGCCATTTGGAAGATGTGTGCTGGCTCGGGCAAGAGTCATGTGACCCTGGTTCATATGCTCATATGAGATCTGCTTGCTGCCTGCGCTTGCTCGTACACGGCTGGGCTAATGTGCAGTACTGTGCCAGATGCAGCGAGCCGCGGAGGCAGCCGAGTGTAAGGCCTGCACCCCAGGGTCAAATCCATGCAGCCTATTATATGTAATTTGGAACAGAAGTGAGCTTTTGGCCTCGCTCTAGCAGGTCCTGATGTATTGCGATAATAAAGCTGCTCCCATGGGCGCTATAGATCTAAAAGTTTGTTTGTAGTTCTGGCAATAGCATGAGGCCTGGTGACTTGTTTTGCATGAGTGCCTGTCTCATGGAGAAAGAAGATCACCGGACCCAATTTAATAAAATTGAATACCACAACATTTTCCAAATTTTCCACGGTATCAGATGGTGTTTAAGTTAGCATTAATAAAATTCAAGAACCCATGCTTCCTGAGTTCCAGGACTTTGTGCTAAAAGAATGTCTTACAAACCCATAATAGCTTGTTTTCATGAACCTGTCCTCTTCTTTTCTCTAACATTGCACCAAAGGAAACTGTACACAAATGTTAAGCAGACAGAAAGCAGCTTTCCAGAATAGAAGCTTACTTTTGTGTGTCTTTTGAACTGTTTTTTCAGAACAATCTGAAGTTTTGGTTTTCTGTAAACAGGGGTGCCATACGGGGGATGGAGGGGTGTAGAGGACAGGGTCCCACAAAGATTAAACTTTGTTTTTCTTTTTGATCTTTAGGGTTACTGAAAAATTCTTAATAGAAAGTGTGCATTCATTAAATAATAATTAAAGACTAGTTTTAGATAGAGTGCCAACAGCAATGCATCTTGCATTCGGTCACCCCTCCAGTGGGTCCCTCTGTGTAAACATTCAGTGGTTTAGCCTGATCCCAGTCTGTAACAAGAGTGAGATTTTTGTCTTTAATTCAGTGAAGATGAACAAAAACATAGGCTTTCAAATACAGCAAGAAAAAAAGGACAGTATGTCACCCAGTTTTCAGCGAGAAATCTGGGTTATCAAGATATACAGGAGCTATTAACAGACAGGAAACATATGCCATAGTAACTGCAGTCAAATGGAAATGATGTGACAGAGCTGTCCAAACGAAACACCATGTCCTGCTGCAAATCTTTAGCCTTTTCAGGTTTTTACTTCATAAATCAATAGTGCAAAACACACCCTGCTTTTGTATTGAGATGTCATGTGCTCTCGACCACTGAAGTATAAAAGTTTAACTTGAAAGTGAAGCCTCAATACAAAGTGGTCCGTGGTGCATTCTGTGTGCTAAGAACACTCTCTAGCCTTCCCTTCTATCTGTCTTTTGACTTGGGTAAAGTATGAATCAAATCCAGAATATCTCCACTATTCCATGACTGAATTTTATGATCTATAGCTGTATACGTAAGTATATTTGTGGAGATTTTAGTAGACTTTGAATAGTATATCTGTCCTTTACTGTGTTATGAAGTTTACAGAAACAACAAATATTACAATTACAGGTAGTTGCATACAGTTTATTGAAATAGCAGTCAAGTTGCTTATATTTATATTCACAGCTTGCTGCATGCTAGAGACAATGGCATGGAGAAAATACGATTTGGAATTATGGAGCTATGAAAAAATGAAGAGTAGGGTTATGAAAATTTTTGCATGTTTTAATGTTGTGGCTGATTCTGGTAAGGGAAATGGGCTGAGACAAGGAGCCCATGCATGAAATTTTCAGTGGGCCCAGAATTCTTCCTGGCTCCTCTGTTTATCAGAGCCGCTAAAATTAAAAACGTCAGTGTTATAGTTTGCCTCCAGTAATGCTGTACCAGTATAGATGATATGTCAGACAGTACTGAAAGAATATTTCCTGCCTGAAGAAGTTTATGGGTGTGTGTTTGGAGAAGAGGGCAGTCTGAGTCGTGAATAGCTGATATTAATTGGTGTCTGGGTGAAATGGTGTTGAGGGATCTGGATGCGGATGTGCAGCCTGGCACCTTTCCTACTGCAGCGGCAGAAATGAGATCAGAGGGGATAGCATGATGAAATATAGCTCAAAATGAGACACATCGATGCTCAATTAGACTGCTGTCATGGGGTCCTGCTGAGGCTTTCACCTGCAGTAAGACAAATTCCCCAAAGGGCCTATGCACACTCCCTTATGTTGTAATGTGCATTTTATGGTCAACAAATTGTAGGTGAAATGAACCCCAAATGAATTGTTCTGGCCCTGGAGCAGTTTGTCTTGAGCTGATCTCATGAATAAAAAGTGGGATGGCATTAGATAGAAAACACAATAATAGGCCAATGTTTCTATCCTTTTTGAAGATCTTTTTTAATGAGACTGTGGGACCACTTGGATGGAGACTAATGCTCTTTCTCTTACTGTCTCTCTCTCCCCACCTATAGCAGCAGGCTGTACGTTTGATGAGGACTCCGACCCTAGCCTGTGTGAGTTCAGCCAGGGAGAGGAGGATGATTTTGATTGGCAGCTGTTCCGCGCCCACGCCTCGCCTCATGCCACCTCTGATCTCCTGCGTGGTAAGCCTACCCAGCATTCATCTGGGCTGCCTATTCTCATTCCACCAGCCTATTTCACACTGCTCGCAAACTATTTCACACCGCGTGCCTCCATTTTGAGTGGCGGCCGATGTGGGGCCGGCGCCCTGTCAGAGTGGGCTGGGAGCTGATGCCAGAGCCAGCTTTTCTCTGCCCTTGCTTTGCACTGTTTGCAGACTGTTTTTAGACTTCTGGTTGTAGAATATCATGACTAGGGGCTACTGTTGGCTAAAAGTGCAAATCACTCCAACAGCCTTATTTGCAGTCAGTGTGTTTTGTTGGCGTGCATTTGTTTTGTGTTTGTTTTTCCACAAGGTGGGAGATTTCCAAGGCTCCACGGAGAGTGTGCTGTTGAAATGAACAGGACTCCATTGGCATATACAGCTTCACACAAATCAACCTTGAGATGCCAGTTGTGCATAATTCATCAGCCGTAATCAAGCAGTCATCCTTCAGTTACCGCTTACGTCTCCATACTCTGGGGCTACTGCATATGTTCACTAAGCCTGTAAGGCTGGCGAAGTATGAAAGTGTGTTGAAAACTGCATTCACCCTGCGCTCAAACACATAAACTGTAGTAAATGAAATTGACAGCATCTTAAATAAATGCAATACATATATATATATATATATATATGATATGTGTATATGCGTTAGAATTGTTTGAATATTTTAATATTATTCAGCCTATTAATAGACATTTTCTCTTGTTTTAAGGGATCTTATCAAGTGAATTTATCTCACTGCACTGGTAGGTAGTTTTGCTTCCAGCAAGCATTATTTTTCAAAACAAGCACAGTGATCTTTCAGTGATCATTTAGCTCATCATTTCACTTCATAGAATCACTTTAAAAAAGTCAAAATTATGATTCTTGATGACGTATTTATCGCTTTTCGGAAAAGCTGAGCGTTTAGGTGATGTTGGGCATCTGTGCTAAAATTTCTTAATTTGATTCATTTTATTGCATTTGTAACCCTACAGAACCAAGTTTTATATTTCTCTGCAATGCTAATCCAGGTAGATGTAGTCCAAGTTTATACATTTGATAAATGTTTATGTATTGGCATTGGCAGATATGTACATGAAAAATACTGGATAATGCCATCGGTCCACAACTTCCATATCAGCATCCAGCACTGGGAGAGGCCTGAGCTGGAGCAGTAGGGCTGTTGGAGGGCTGCAAGTCTAGAAACAGACAATCTTAAAATATACTCACAGCAGACTTTTGTAAAGTTTTAATATATAACCTGCATTCAAGGTGCTTTCACTTTCCAACTAATTTGTAGAAAGCTATAAACAATGAAGAAATGTTAGATGCATTCAGAATGATGAACGGAGCTGTAATTTCATAATGACCCAGAAAGCTTATAACATTGAGAATGAAGTACTAATAAATTTGACGTCCAGAATGTGTCATATTTTAAGTGGTGATCTTGAGGCAGATAACTTGGCAAGAAATGACTATAAATTAGTAATAAGTCAGAATCTTCCAATATATAAATAGTAATGAAAGTTTCCATTTAAAATCCATTTAATAACTTCTTGATGTTCACAAAAATCTTCTTCTAAATTTCCCTAATGTTTAGCTTACAGTATTTCAGTCTTCACTGTAAAAGCCATTAATAAGCTATGGATGAAATAACAGCAATTAATATGACCAATGGGTCCAAACTTTTGAACTGTAGTGTATTTTTTTGCAGTGCGCACACACTTTCTTTAGGAAAGCTCCATTATTCTACTAATGCTCATCATGGACAGCACTGATTAGTAAACTGGCCTTTCCCTTGACAAATCAATCTATTGATCAGTGAGTTTGGCTTTGAAAGGAATCTTTCCCTGAGGATGTGGTGGTGAATGAGAAAGGGATGTGAAAAGCAAAAGCAACACAAACTGGAGAGTGAGAAATTGCATCGTGTAGTAGGCAGTTGTAAGTTGTTGAGAAGAATGATAGAATAATACAAGAATAGATGTGATTAGAATATGATGCTAATGAGACTATGACAAGCATGGGATAGATTATTAGATGAATAAGCAAGTGCGTAAGCTTTTCAGCAATGAAAAGATTTCAGTCTGGAGAGATATGGAGGCTCACTGAAAAAGCATGTCTCTGGGGAACTGCGAATCAAAACAACATTATTCGAAAGGTCAATTACTACTAAAGGGAATAGCAGGACGTAGCCGGAAAGGCTTAAAGGCTAGCTCTGTTTAAATAAAGCCCAGCGTTTAGGTACATCTGAGACTGGTTACTGTTGTTCAGTTCTCAGAAGAAGACACGCACATGCACACACACTCACACTGCTACACACACATTTTTCTTTTGAACTGTAACAATAGCACAACAAATAAAGGATGAAGACATGTAAGTACCACTGTCAGAATACAAGCAACCCCCCCACACACACAAATCATGATAAGCATGCTGCTCACGCAGATTTCTATCCACCCTGATAGACGCTGTGCAATAATTAATATCTTTCCCTTTGGGTTTAATTAAAGCTGGCTACCCATTGCATTTGCTGTGTTCAGAGGGCATCAGCGGACTCCATATACACAGACGGTTTATCAGGTAGATGAGGGTCAGAATATGATTGCAGGGAACAATGAGGACTGTTGGACAAAGTGGGACTGCAATTAGACGTTTAGATCATCTTCTCTCTTCCTCCCCTTCAGTTCCAGTCATCAGTCATAGCAAGGACTACACTAGCATGCAATAGTCCCCTGTTGTTATTTTCATTGTCTTCAACCCTGTTGCTACAGAACACAGTGGGAGAGGGCTGAGCTGGAGCAGTAGGGGTGTAGGGCTGTTGACCAGAGCTGCCATCAAATATTTTCACTTTCAAATATTGAATTGAATATTCAAAATTTTAGCATACAATAACTACTCATGTATTTAATTTTAAAATGGTTAAAAAATATTAGTAGAATACAAATCATGTACATACTCATGTTTTTGGAGGTAACATCATTACATAGTTCTTATATAACCAATCATTTACATATAGCTGCCTCTTTATTTCCTACAGATGTTTAGCCCCACCTGTTTACACAGAAGTAATAAGGGCTGTATAAGTTGCTTTTTCAATTAGGTGCAGTGCAGTACAGATGTCATTTACATCTGTCAGTCTAAACGGCACAGTAACAGAAACAGCCTGTTTGTATTAAGGGATAAAGAGAGACTGGAAAAGTGGAATTCATAAAGTAAAATAAAATACAAGAAGGGTTTAGAGTATGGGAACTTTAATGACTTATGAAGAATAAAGGCTCACAAATTCAAACCTTTTCCTGTACCATGAACCAAATGTGAGACATTATAGGTCAGCAGGATAATTTCCAAACAGTAGACATCACAATGAATCTTTGTTACTGAATTACTGATGTTCTTTCAAATGTTTTTTGTATTGAAAGTTGTGTTTAGCAAAAAAATGATGTCTAAAAAAACAGATGTGATCTGCTTAAATATGCATACTTTTGTATATTTTTAAAAAAAACAGTGGATGATGTTAGAGTTAAGGTGTTTATGTTACTTTGAAGATATACTCCAGAGAGAGGATTTTGCCAAACAGATTATTGAAAAATTATTGTTGTGTTAGTTCATAAAGAAAACACTATGCACTGTTATTATAAAATGTTTTCAGGTCATTTTAGTATATAATCTAGCTCAAATGCAGCTATTAGCTATTATTACTTGCTATTCGTAAGTTCTTCTGTTCAGAATATGACCAGGAATGAACATGAATTTTCATGAGTGCACATTTTCTCAAAGCTGAGATTTTTGGTTCAGAATATAGAAAAACACCTGAGTTTAGAATAATGAATTGTAGAGTTTTTAAAGTGGGCCTCAGAACTACACTACCTAGTGAGATCTTTGACAACATGCATCATTTCCATCAACATGCATCTTAGTATTAATAATAGCTTAAATGTTGAACTTACACACACGCATGCACACTACACACAAACATACTCCTGGGTCACAGTGGGTGCTGGAACCTGTTCCAGCACCCTGGGTAGAATGTAGCTTTCATTAAAGTTGCTTACTTGTGAATCAACAAAACACACTGAAATAAATGTGTTTGTTGAGTTTTGACACATTTATGATTACAGTTTAAGAGAAGACTATCTTCTAACCTGATTATAATTATCATAGCTCATTAGCTCTAACATCAAAAGCATTGTAGGCACAATAGTTAGCAATTTAACTATCTTGCAGGGATGTGGTTCTAGTAGTCTAACCCCAAGTTTGCCTTGGACTTTATTCTGCCTTTGGCTAAACTGTCCCATAACACTAGTTAGCCTACATACAGGAGGTTGGGATGCTGGCTTATAGAATATTACAGTGGTTTTTACCTTTTCTTTAAAATACATTTATTATCAAAATTATGGATTGTAGTAAACATTTTTTGCCGCTCTGTAGGAAAGAGCTGTGTTTTCTGGCTCTTTCACGCTACATTGCCTCTGTAACAGTTTGTTGCTCCACTATCATCCTAGCAGCGGAACGGTGGCCGATGGTGGATATAACTTGTTTAGCTGATAAGGCTATTTACAGTGGGTCTGTTTTAACTGCCTAGCCTGTGCCCTGTGAAGATAGGCAAACGTTTGAGGTGGTAGCTGGAATCTGTGTCCCTGGAGAGAAATTAAGATTTGCTATCTGAGGCGAGGGAGGGGAGCAAGAGTGGTAGCGGGAGAGGAGGAGAGTTTAATAGGATTCTTGAGCATTAGGCTTCCCCTGTTTACAGTCTTTTCAATTTCCCCTCTGAAATGAGCGTGCTTTCCAGGGCGCGCAGAAATGAGAGCAGGGGCTAAATGGTAAACACACTGCAGAACGCAGATCTGCGGCTCATGGGCTGCTCTCAAGTGTACATTGCAGCATGTCTGGGACAGTTTCAGTAATCTATGTGAGGCAGAGGGGTGGGACAGAGAAAATCAGATGTGCATGCAGCTCTTATCTTTGCCCAGATGCTCCACTGTCCGTGTCTTTGAA